AAGATTGTTGTAAGGATAAAATGAAATGACTGTAAAGCACTTTATAAATGCTAGCTGTTGTTATCATGGGGTATTGTCTTGAAAGACCTATATCCTGTCTCCATCACAGGTGACCTTGGGTGAATCCCTTAACCTCTCTAGGCTTCAGTTTCCTCATTTGTAAAAGGAGGACATTAAATTAAATTAGATAGCCTTGAGGTCCCTAGATCTTGTTGACCTGGTGTTCTAGGAGGAAAACAAAACCTGACTTTTTGCAGGAAGGTTTGTCTCTCCTTTTTTTTTCCCCGAGATTGGCAGCACTCAACTTAAATGTAGAACGTGAGGAGCCCATCCAAAACCCAAATGCCTGCTAACCTAACTCTGAAGAGATCTACTAGGGATGCAGAAAGGGGAAGTTAGCTTCTTTTGTGTTAAGCACCTTGAATATCCTTTTTTTTTTTTTAAAGGACTGACTTGGAAAGGTTGAATTTGATGAGTTGAAAGCTAGAAATAGTTTCCATTTGGAGTTTGTTTATCCCCATTTATATGAAGTCCCAGCCAACAATCTTAATGGTTTTGAATGATCATAAATGTTTCCCAGAATTTGGGCTCACCTATCTGCCAGTGGGCCAATTTCCCAGTTGGCTGCAATATATTAATTAAAGCTGTTTTTAGATTAGTAGGGAACAGCCCACCCACATATTCCATTTCAATCCAACCAGCATTTATTGAGGGTCTACTATGCATGCCTCGGGGGCATGCAAAGACAAAGGAAAAATACTTTCCCTGCCTTCTGGAAGCTTACTTTCTCTTTTTGTTTGTTTTTGCTTTTTGGTGAGGCAATATGGGGTTAAGTGACTTGCCCAGGGTCAAATAGCTAGTGTCAAGTGTCTGAGGTCACATTTGAGCTCAGATCCTCCTGATTCTAAGGCTGGAGCTGTATCACCTAGCTGCCCTGAAGAAGATTACTTTCTACTGTTTATGCACTGCATAAACATATTTGAAGGAGTGAATTAAGAAAAACACTTTAAAACTCACACAATGTTCACCTTTATTAAGGTCCGCTGATATGAAGTTGAAAAGACCTACTGGTTTTATTTTATTTCATTCACTCTTCCTCCCCTTCTCCTTTCTCCCTTCTCCCTTCCTTTTCCCCTTCCCCCTTCCCTTTTCCTTTCCCCTTTTCCTTTCCTTTTTACTCTCCTTAGATAAAATGCCCTATTTCCAATGATAATAATAATCTGTCAAGAGTGGTGGGATTGAATATACTTCCTTATTTTTTAAAATCTCTGTAAACAATAATTGTTAGTAATTACTTAGTTAATTTGATCAGGTAGGCGATTTTTTTTTTTAAAGAAACTTTTAAATTGAAAGATACCTAATGCAGCTATTAAATAATGGGTCATGACAGTCAATGAACATCTTTCCAGGAGAAGTCATGTTTCTCTGTATAGATTCACCATCAACAATGTAAAAATAAGCAACAATGAGCTGTCTCTGATTTCAGCTTAGGGGGAAGTTTTCTACATAAGTCCGTTCTTCTTTAGTACTTAATGGATGGTATCAAACCTTAATTGCAGATTCATTTTTAAATATTTTAGTTCTGTTTCTGTATAAGTTTGAGGATCAGTATGAAAACCAGTTTGGGAGGACCATACAGAAAATAGAGTAACATATTAGAAGGCTGGAAAGTTAGGTTGGGGCCAAGCTGTTAGGGGCTTTAAATGCTTAACAGAGAAGTTTATATTTAATACTAGAAGTAATAGGGAGCCACTAGAGATTATATTGAGTAGGTAAGTGACATGGTCAGACCTGTACTTTAGGAAAATTACTTTGGTAGGTATGTGGAGGATAAATTAGAGTAGGTATAGACTTAAGTCAAGGCAACAAGAATTTATTAATTTCCTATTATGTGCCAAGTGGGGCAGCTAGGTGGCTCAGTGGATAGTCAGGAAGACTCATCTTCCTGAGTCTAAATCCAGCCTCAGACACTTACTAGCTGTGTGATCCTGGGCAAGTCACTTAACCCAGTTTGCCTTAGTTTCCTCATCTGTAAAATGATCTGGAGAAAGAAATGTCAAACCACTCTAGTATCTTTGCCAAGAAAACCTCAAATGGAGTCACAGAGAAGCGGACAGGACTGAAATGACTGAACAACAGCAAAAAGGTGCCAGATACTGTGCTGAGTTCCAGAAAGGCAGAGAGCCAGGTTGCTTGGATATTTGGGGAAAATGAAAGTGAGGAGCGGGGTGCCTCTGAGGATATGAACCTGAGTGACTCTGGAAGAATGGTGGTGCCTTTGACAGAACTAGACAAGTTTGAGTTTGGGGGGAAAGAGAACGTCGCGAGTTCAAGGATTCAGATCTCAACCCGTTCGTGCTAGAGAGTGTGACAGACTCTGTCTTCCTCAAAATGAAATGATTGTGGAGCAGTTAGGTGGTGCAGTGGATAGAGCACCGGCCCTGGATTCAGGAGGACCTGAGTTCAAATGTGACCTTGGACACATAACACTCACTAGTTGTGTGACTCTGGGCAAGTCACTTAAGTTTAATTGCCTCACCACAAACAAACAAACAAAAAAAGAAAGAAATGATGGTGGTAGTAGGATTGTCACTTAACCAATGACTACTTTAGGAAGTAGAGCACAATGTCCAGGTAAAGGAGAAGCCTCAGGGTGATCTGGAGGGAATGAAGATGCCGAGGGAAAGGGGAAATACCTCACTCCAAGGCCAGCACTCTAACCACACTACCACACTGCCTCTAAATCTAGGTAAAATTGAAGTAAACAGTCCAAATTTCAGGCAGGCTATTTGAGTGCCAGCCTTGTTAGCCATTTCAATATAATTCTGTTGCTCTTCCCACCCTGTCAGTCGCCAAACCTGAAACATTTTTTGTTGTTGTTTAGTTGTTTCAGTTGTGTCCAACTCTTCCTGATCTGTTTTTGGAGTTTTCTTGGCAGAGATGACTGGAGTAGTTTGCCATTTCCGTCTCCTCACCAGGATGTTTCCTGTACTATTAAAATGATAGATCCAGCCTCTAAGCCTACTCTCTCATTAAGGCCCCAACTGAGCCTTCAGTCACATCTCTCTCAGAAAATAATGTCACTTCCTTTTTTGTCCCACCCAAGGCAGAGCTTGGCACGTACTACAAATTAGGGGCTGTCATGGGCTGGGAAATGCTCACCAGGGACAGAGAAAGTGAGCTCCAAAAAAGGGATAGAAAGAATCTATTGGCCAGGTCATAGTCACCTCTCTTGAATGATTATGGGTTACTGTTATGGAAGGAGGTTAAGTTGAACAGTAAGACAATGTCTTATTGGTTTTGGTGACTTGATGGTTGCAGGGGTTGGGAGTTCAGATCAGCTTCATCTCTGTTGCTTGGAGTCCTGAAGAGTTGTGTAAGGCATGGAGAAGTTAATAGAGTTGCCCAGAGTCACAGAGCCCAGCATGCATCAGAAAGCAGATTTTGAACCCAGGTCTTCCTGGCGCCAAAGCTGACTGGCATCATACTATTTCTCATGTACTTGGAGTATAGGACTAGAAGGCAGAAGACCAGAGTTTGAGTGCTGGTTCTGCTATTTGCCAGCTGTCATATCATCTTTGATATGAGATTACTTTTTCTTCTTACAATTCTTATAATTCTTCTTACAGTTACCTGTAAGAACAGTTTTTAACATTTATTTTAAAATTTTGAGTTTCAAATTCTTTCCCTCCCTGAGATGATAAGCGATTTTATGTAGTTTTTACATGTGTAATCATGCAAAGCGTATTTTCGTATTAGTCATGTTGTGAAGGACCATAGACCAAACAAACACCTGCCAAAAAGAAAAAAAGAAAAAAAAATGAAAAATAGTATGCTTTGATGTGCACTCAGACTCCATTGGTTCTTTCTCTGGAGGTGGATAGAATGAGTCCTTCAGAGTTGTCTTGGATTGTTGTATTGCTGAGAATAGTTACATCATTTATCGTTGATCATTGTACACTGTTGCTGTTTCTGTGTACAGTGTTCTCCTGGTTTTGCTGACTTCACTTTATATCAGTTCGTGTAAGTCTTTCCAGGCTTTTCTGAAATCATCCGGTCGTTTCTTATAGCACAATTGTATTCCATTACAATCATGTTATGACAACTTGTTCAGCCATTACCTGATTGATGGGCATCCCCTCAATTTCCAATTCTTTGCTACCCCAAAACGTTGATTTGAATATTTTTGTACAAGTAGGTTCTTTCCCCCTTTTTAAAATCTCTTTGAGATACGGACCTGGTAGTAGTATTGCTGGATCAAAGGGTATTATGCACAATTTTATAGTCCCTTGGGCATAGTTCTAAATTGTGCTCCAGAATGGTTAGATCAGTTCACAACTCCACCAGCAGTGCATTAGTGTCCCAGTTTTCCCCCATCCCCTCCAACAGCCAACATTTTCCTTTTTTGTCATATTAGCCACTCTGATAGGTATGATGTTGGACCTCGGAGTTGTTTAATTTACATCTTTCTAATCAATAATGATTTATAACATTTTTTCCCCTATGACTGTATAGATAGCTTTGATTTCTTCATGTGAAAACTTCCTGTTTATATCCTTGAATGTCAATTTATTGCAATTAGCACTTGACTCTGATCACTATTTTTTGAACCTGATCTGTGATTTCATTGGTTTTGGGAGCTCAGGATAAGTAAGTTTCTCTGCCAATGCAAGTTGTCACCTTCTCTGTAGCATGCAATATTATAGAGAGGTATCTGAAGCACACAGGGGTTAAGTGACTTGCCCAGGGTCATCCAGTCAATATCTGTCAGAGGCAGACTCAAATCTTCCTGATGCAGAGGTGTTTCTTTATACCATACCCTGCTGCCTCTCACACTTCTGTACAGCCTAAAACAGGACACAGATTATTTAAATGACTAGTTGATTATATATAGGGACTGATTTAGTCCGGCAAGGGAGTTCCTGAGTGCTCCCCATCTGATGAGTAAAAGTCTGGGACTCTGAAACATTTGTCTAATCTAGTCTCTCTTTCCCTTGCAGCCTAATCATTGTTGGTTACATTTGATGGTGCCTGAATTGGCCAACAGTCTGAATAACCTTTTGTACAAGTTTTCCAAAATTTCCAGTAGTCTGAGTAATTATTCAATCATTGATAAACTCATAAAAATCATTGATGACCTGATGGGATGCTTAGAAGAGAAAAATAAGGTAACGTATCAAAAAATGGAAGGAGGAGGGTATATATTTGTTCTTAAATGGGTCCGGGTAGGAGAAGGGGTTGGAAGTATGGAGGATTTATGTGTGTCTGTATGTTCATACTTACATGTATGCAGCAGAATATTGTAGGATGTGGTTGTTAAATGCTAATAAGTTGAATTGTTTTGGAATTATAAACCTTAATAATAACGTAATAAACCCTTGCTCAGAGTTTTTTCTGCATTAACAAAATTCTAGTAATAGCGTGGAGCAGGGAAGAGGAGGGAGCAGTGTGAAATTGTAGAGGGGGTAATGCTTTAAAGTCTATTTCCTTTGTTTTAGAAACAGAACTACCTCACACTGTGAAGTCAAGAGTGCCTGACCTGTGCTGTTGTTTCATTTGGGAATTCAGTTGGGGAAGGCTTCCAGATTAGTCAGCTATTTTAAATTCAGTTTGGATGGAAAGCTTTCTGTGTTGAAGCCTTAACTCTGATGTTTTTCCATAATGTAATTGTTCTATTTTGGAGTGATATCTTTGTCTTGCTTTTTGGAGACCATAAAAATGGACTGGCCATTTTTGTCTCCATCAAGGCCATTTGACAGGTTAGTGGGCACAACTCCATACCTGTTCTGGAGTCAGTGCCAGGATCAGAGATGATCAGAGTAGGAAGGGACCTTAAAGGTTATCTAGTCCAGCCTCCTAGTCTACAGATAAAGAAACTGAGACCTAGAAAAATTAAGTGATTTGCCCAAGTTCACAAAGATAGAAGGTGGCAAATCCTGGGCTTTTGGGCCATGATTGTAGTGTATTGGAATAAAGTTACTTTATGATGTTCACTTACCTTTTCAGGGTTTCAGTTTCCTTATCTATGAAATGAATTGGTTGCATTACATAACCTATGTAGTCCCTTACAGTTTTAAACTGTAATCCTGTGATCCTGGAAACTTTGTGTTATCATGAGGCCTGAAGGTCCAGTCCTAGGCAATCTGTATTCTACCCCGTGCTTTTATTTCTCCTGTTCTCTCATCTCCGCCCCCCCTCCCTGATCCTCATCCGCCCCCACCCCCAGGTAGCCCAACCAAAATGCTCTCAGCATTTCCATCTGTCCAAAGTTTGAGGATTTTCTAATCTGAATGGGGGAGATAACATGCAAATACACAAACACACATGTATGCACACACTGAAAGATAAAGTTATTTGAAAAGCATTAATAACTGAGGGAAATTGGGAAAGGCTTCATGGAAAAGGTAGAGATTGAATGGAGACTTGAAAAGAAACTAGGAATCTTTGTAGCAAACAGTAGTCTCGTCGCCTTTGAGGATTCTTTCTTTGATGGTGTCTGTGCTCCAAAGACCTCTTCTGGCTTACCTGGAGAATACTGTAAACCTGAAACATCAGAGGACAGTCAGCAGTTAAATGCCAAAATGAACTGACCTCAGCCCCAAATCAGAGCTTTTAAGTTGCTTCTACTGAGGCAGCTTTGAAAAAGTGGCAGTTTCAGTGTCCTAGGACTCATCCCACTTGAGTCTTTGAAGATAAGCAACCCGCCAGTGTCCTTGACCCACATTGAGCAAAAATGGCACTTGGGTAATGTCAGTATTGCTTCTTTTCTCTAGAATTTCCGAAAGCAAAATAACAACATTTACCGAGAAGGCTCGTTCATTCCCGAACAGTTTTTTAGCTTCTTTAATAAATCCATCGATGCCTTCAAGGAATTTGAAGAAACATCTGAGCAGAGCGCCTGCGTCCTGCCTTCAACAATAGGGCCTGAGAAAGGTAAGATGGAAATCTTGAAAAGGGAGTCTGCAAACTCAAGGTTAGCGCATAAGCCAGCGGCTTCTCAGTCACAAATCTATGGGGATATGTACCTCTGAAAACACACCTACACTTGCCAAAGCATATATGCTTGTGTAGATTGGTATCTGTGACATCAGACTATTCAAAATGGTAGCTATATTGGTTTCCAAGCCACCCTAGTGAAACAAAGAACTTTCACTTGTGAATGCACACATTATTTAAAAGCCACTCATTTTCCCACTCCGTCTTAGCCTGGAGTTTGCCATTAATTCTTAAATTTCTTGGCCTTCACCATCCAGGTTTCTCATCTTTTCCTTTTTCAACACTCAGCCTTATGATTTTGCTTCTAAGGTAAGGAAGCTTTTATTCTGTCCAACTAGCCTTTTGGGTAGGTACACAGGCTCAGTGCCAAGACCCCTCCCCTCTTGTCTTGTTCAGGACACAGTACTCAATCTGAAATTTCCCCCCAGTTTGTACTTCTTATGGCCCGTACATACATACACGCATACATATACATACCTACACACATATCTACACATATACATCTACATATATGCACACACACAAATATGTACAAACAAATATACCCATGCACACCTACACACATTATACATATATATACACGTACAAATAACATGCATATTCATATGTACATATAATATAAAATTATGTTGTATATAATATTTTAATATAGAAACTATAATATAAATAAGCTAATAATATATTTAAAATGTATAATGTTTTTACTGATGGGTAGTTATCTGTGCTGATCCACATAATAATCATGGTGGGTTTTTTCATGCAGTAGAACAGTGTGACCAGATAATAGTAAAAGAGTTCTACACCTCTAGAGCCAGTGCCCAAATTTCCTTCTCTGTAAAATGACAGGGTTGGACTCATTGGCATTTAGGGTCCCTTGCAGCTCTCAGTCTAAGATCCAAAGGCACTAGACCCCCATAGAGCTGCCTGATCCGCCATGTAGAGCTTCGCCTTTAAGGAGCATTGTAATACACGTAAGTCGCTATGCAACACTGACACATTGTTGCTTTCTATTTAGATTTCAGGGTCAATGTCACAAAACCATTTTTGTTACCCCCCGTTGCAGCCAGCTCCCTTAGGAATGACACCAGTAGCAGTAATAGTAAGTATGAATACCTGATTTGATGCATGCATGGCTCCAATTGGCCTCCATAGGAGTTTGCATGAGCTTTAAATGAAATTGTCCCACAATTGGGAAAACTCACTAATGGGGTTACTGTCTTTTGTGTTGATGCCCCCCAGCATATGAACAACCATTCCTGGGCTTTCAAAATGCACTTGTCCTTCGGTGTGATCTTGCCATTGAACTGTGAAATTGTCAGTGATTTTTTATGTCATTTAGAGAATTTTAGTAACACCTGAAGAACACGATTCCTTTAAGAGAAGATGCCGTTTGTTTACATGTCATTTTGTATGTTTCGCCATGATTTTGCATGAATGAGGAAATTCTGTAGTGCAAGATTATGCCAACCTACTCGGTGTTCGTTAGAACTTATTACTGTAGTTCTTGAATCCCTTGCCTTCTTACCAATTACCCTCATGAAGGACAATATGGTGCTTTGTCTGAAGTTGCTGGCATCTCAAAAGTCAGGACTCTCTAAGAGTTCATGTGCTTTTTTGCAAAACTTTAAAAAAAAAAGACATCTTTTAACTCAGCCTGAGTTTAACTTCACTTCAGCGATTCAATTCAATAAAAATTTGCTAAGCATTGGGTGCTGCACCAAGTGCTGGGGGTAGATACAAAAGCAGGAGTAAAACAATGCCTTCCTTCACAAAGCCTCCTTTTTCAGATACTCATCAGCTATGTGACCCTGACAAGTCACTTAATCACTGTCTGCCTTAGTTTCTTCAACTGTAAAATGAGGATTATAATAATAGCACCTATCTTTCAGGGTTGTTGTAAAGATTAAATGAGAAGATATTTGTGAAGTGCTTAGCACAGAGGCTGGCACGTAACAGGTGCTTAATAAATGATTATTTTCTTCCTCTCACCTTCCCTTCCTTTACTTTCCTCTTTCCCTCCCTCCCTGCTTTCCTTCCTTCCTTTCTTCACTTTCCTCTCTTCCTCCCTCCCTTCCTTTCTTCCTTCCTTCCTTTCTTTCTTCCTCCCTCTATTCTTCCCTTTCTTCCTTCCACCCTCCCTTCTTTTACTTTCCTCTCTCCTTTCCTTTTACTTTCCTCCCTCCTTTCCTTTACTTTCCTACCTTCCTTCCTCCCTTCCTTTGTTTCTCCCTTCCTTTACCTTCCTTTTTATCTCTCCCTTCTTCCTTTCCTTTCCTCTTTCCCTTCTTCCCTTCCTCTGTCTCTCCCTGCTTTCCTTCCTCCCTCAGAGAACTTCCTTTCTACTTGGCTGATAAGTGCTAGTCACAGGGCTATATTAAAGTAGCACAGTTCTTACTCTCAAAAAGCTTACTATCTACTGGGCAAGTAGATGCCAGGTATGAACACAAAGACAAAACCAAAGTTGACCTTGCCTTCATTTTCTACTGGGGTGCTTTAGATCCGTCTCTGTGCATACAGAGACAAAAACAGTTTTTGACTTCAAGGAGCTTACTTTCTACTGGGAAGATATATGCCAGACCCTGGAAATACAAAATAAAAATAGAACCACCTGTCTATAGACAAAGCAAATCCTAAGTCAAGATGAAGTAATTTCACTGGAGAGGTGGGGAGCAGCAGTTAACCTCTTCATGGGGTCAGGAAAAGTCTCATGGAGACGTTAGCCCCCAAGTTGAGCCTAGAAGGATGTTTGAGTCTCAGTCCTTTGTCGTCACTTTTCTGAATGAATAAAGGGCCTCCATGTTTGCCTGTTGGATTGGACATGTGCTGATGGGAATGTTTTTGGCCATGGTACTGCTATCCAAGCAAAGACAGCATGTGGTTGAGTTGCAGGACCATTGATTTTTCTGGGCTTTGAGGCCTGCACAAAGAATTCTCTTTTGCACTCGGCTTTGGCCGTGGCAAAATTGCTTATTGAAACCAAAGCTGCTAAACAGCTGTCCAAACTCTGCCAAAGTGGAATTGGATGCTGATCAAGAAATTTGCAAATCATCCAAATTAAATCGTTTTCTTGAAGTGAAAGTCATTTCCTTCCCTCTAAGTCAAGAGACATAGGCATCCCTTAACATCAGTTTTAATTATTTGGGGATGATTTATTTCCTCCTAAGGTCAGAGTGTCAAGATGCCAAGATCTCCACTTTCTCATTTCTGTGAAAACCTTTTAGAAATGTGCTGAGATGTATCAGTGGGATGCTATGTGGAAACCATGGGAAAGGAGCTTTTTACCCCAGGCTGGACTGAAAGAAAAGCTCAGGAGTAGATCATGGAGTGATGTGTCACTCCTTTGTGCTCTGAGATGATCTGTATTTCTTGGCAAACAGGAGACAGTCCATCTCATTCCAAAGTGACCATGGCATTTGAAGCTCCCTAATCCTTCACCATAAGAGCAGGAAAGGTAGCTCACTGGATAGAATGCTGGATCTGGAGTCAGGAATACTTGAGTGCAAATCCAACCAAATTCTTATAAGCTGTGTGACCCTGGGCAAGTCACTTAACCGTTATCTGCCTCAGGTTCTTCACCTATAAAATGCATAATAATAGAACCTATCTCCCATGGTTGTTGAAAGGATAAAATGAGGTTATATTTACCTTGAAGTGCTATGTAAATTCTAGCTGTCAGCTAGGTGGTATAGAGGGCTGGACTCGATGTCAGAGAGGCCTGAGTTCAAATCCTGCCTCAGACGTTAATTTATGTCTATTTATTTATGTTTATTTATGTGGGACTTTGGGCAAATCTTCTAACCCCTGTTTGCCTTGGTTTCCTCACCTGTAAAATGAGGCTAATAATAATAATTTGTCTGGGTTGTTGTAAGGATCACCTGGAATGACCTATGTAAAGAGCTATGTAAATATCAGCTGTTTTTATTATGATTTTTGCAGTCATTGGCCATTGAGAATCAATACCAAAGAGAATGCCAGGCCACCAAACAGGATTCTCATGAGCAGCAGGCAGTCCTATACCATGGATATACAAGTTTCTCCAGGAATTACCAGGAAGCATCTAGTAGCCTTCAAGGCATGTCCAAATCCAACTAGATAGTTAATAAATACGGGCTCAAATCTTGCTGTGCTACTCACTAACCTAGTCACGTGTAGTCTCCTCTCTGGAGTTAGTTTCCCCATGTCTAAATTGATGGGGTCAGACTAAATGTCTTCTAAGGTCCCTGTTATCTCCAATCCTAAGACTGTGATTATAAATGGACTACCCTGTACAATCAATCCTGAGTTCACTAACGGTTTGTATGCCCAAAGTTTGTGTGAGCTGTGTGGGTCAGGGGAAGGTACTCTGAACCTCATGTTTTCTTCACAGAAGAATCACTTCTTTAAAAGCTTTAAACAGAATTAAGTCAGAATATCCTAAGGAAATTATTAATTACCTGCATCATGGTGGAGCAATCTCCTGCATGGTTCTGTCTTCAACATAATATTTTTTTAAATTACAGGGAAGGCATCAGGATCCGCTAAAGACCCAAGTGTGCATTGGGTAGCCATTGTGTTGCCATCACTGTTTTCTCTTGTAATTGGCTTTGTTCTGGGAGTCTTATACTGGAAGGTAAGGAAGCCCAAGATTTGCTGTCTATGTTCATCTCAATAAATGGTTAACCAACTGGCCACCATTTTGTGTAAAATGGAATCTGTCAAGAAAACCAGTGACCCTTACTTGTATTCTTTCTTGAAGTGAGTTTCTCTTTTGCCACCTGCCATATTGATAAAAATCCTGTCCTGGTGTATGCTTTGAAGATGAAACCTGCTTCTAATATGTCTAAATTAAATTTTAAAAAAAGATAGATGCTTTAAAATAACATTTCAGAGTCAAATGGACATTTTTTAATGTGCTGATTATATTCACCCATGCCTCTCCTTCCTTTAGTTTTTCTCTGCCAATATTGTAAGTTGCTCTTGGTCAGTTTTCCAAACATTTCTTAGATTGAGTCCTACTCAGATATTCTGTTTTTAAATTTGTTGATGTGGCCTCTTTGTTTCTGAAAATGCTGAATCAATAATGTAGTATTTTTTCTTAATTTTAAAATAACAAATCTTTAAACATATGTCATTACATGATGAAAAAAAATGTCATTGGAATGAAGAACATGAAAGAAGTATGCCATTTACTTCTTTAAACTTTCCAGCCTTTAAAACTACCTCAGTATGATTGTGTTCTATTGTTCTTTTCTCAGAAAAAACAAATGAGTCTTAAAATGGAAGGTGAAAACAGAGAGATTAGTGAAGAGGATAATGAGATAAGGTAACTTATTTTACCAAATATATACATGATTGCTGCACTGCAAATTCACTGACTGTGTGTATGTTCATGACCTCTCCCTCATATTCACATCATCTCACAAAGTTTCAGCTACCATCTTTCTGAATTCACATTTACATCTCGACCTCTCCCCTGGTCCCAGGTTGCTGCGCCTCGAAGTGAACCTTTCCACAGAGATGGCTTCCTAGCCTTTGGAACTTATCAGCCATTGGGATGTATCAGCTTCCTTTTCACAGTACAACTATCTTCTCAGAACTTCAGAAGCGTTATATTTGACTCTTTTGTTTCTATTTTGTATGCCCAACTTTCTCACCACTGTCTCTTCTTTTCCTTGACTTGAATCACCATCCTAGAACATACAGTCATTACCACAAGCCTACATTACTTTACTATATACAACCTCCATAATAATCTAATTCCCTCTCACTATCGGCATGTCAGTTCCCTGTCCAGAAACTTAAAGTGGCTAATAATGATAATAATAATGATGATAATTGTTATATGATAATTTAATATTTTAGTAATAGATAACATAATTATATAATAGTAGAGAGCAATATAATTTTATTATTACACTATTAACATAATTTAAAATTAGTAATATGTACTATAATTAAAATACTGTAATATGGTATTATACTATGGTATCATAAGTGCTGTAATTATATCATAGTATAACATAGTGTTATAGTTTTTATTATAGATTGCAGAAGTATATATAAATACATGTTTCATCATATGTTAATATAATTTTATATAATTAGTAAGATAAAGACATTATCTTATTAATTACATCACAAATTATATTTCTATTTATGTATTATAATTAAAAATGCTGTAATATAGTATTATACTATGGTATTATCATAAATGCTGTAATTACATCATAGTATGATATAGTATTATAATTTTTGTTATAGATATATAAGAAGCATGTATAAATACATATCTTACCATATATTAATATAATTTTATATAATTATAGATAAAGACATTATCTTATTAATTACGTCATACGTTATGTTTCTGTATTATTATATTTTATTGTATAATATCGTCATCACCATCCTTAGTATAAATACAGGCATCTTGGCATAATGAATAGAGAACTGAACTTAGAATCCATAAGACTTGCCTTAGAATCAGAATCCTGCCTCTCTGAGGCTTACTCATGAGACTACGCACAGGCTTCTTAACCTCCCCCAGCCTCAGTTTCCTCCTCTGTAAAGTGGTCATAATAATACCTTGTAGTCCTTGCCACACAGGACCATCATGAGGCTGTAGGGAGATAGTGTACACAGAGAGCTTTACAGACTTGAAAATACTCTACTCGCTGAAAGTGTCTTTAGCTGAGTCTCCTAAGCTCTTCACCCCCTATGTTCTAGCCAAGCTCTGTGTGCTGTCCCTTGAACCTAATTCAGTTCCCACTCTTTGTAGTGACCTTTTCATAGATTCTCTCTTATGCCTTTCCTGGACACCTGCTTTGTGTATAGCAATGACATAAGCACCAGAGATACAAAGAAAAAAAAAAGCAGTACCTGTCCTCAAGGGGTTTACAGTTTATCACTTCCTTTAAGACAGATTGAGGTTCTTACCTTTGGAGTCTGTGAATGTATTTCAAATGTGTGTATGTTGAACTATTTCAGTGTATTGAGTTTCCTTTGAAATCCTGCGTATTTTATTATACACATTTAAAAACATTATTCCAAGCTTTGCAAGATTACCAAAGGGGTCCATAACACCAAGAAGGTTAAGAACGCCTGTTCTGAGACCTTAGTCAGAACTTGTACCAGGATGCCTCTTCCAGTTAACCCTGCACAAATCTAATCACCTTTTTTTTCTTTATTCCATCTTTGAATAATTTAAACTTTTATTTTTATATATGTGAGGCTGCATGGCATAGCACATGAATGGATAACCAGTCTAGAAGGAAGGAGGCTAGCCTTTCCACCATACTCCCTGTGTGCCTGTCAAGTCACTTAATCTCTAAGAGTGAATGATTTGTAGAGTATGTGCTAACTTGCATTTATGAAAGAAGTTTCCCTGTCTGAAAGTTGCCTGCACTGATGACCAGTCCTTATATGTCTGTCTGTCTGTCACACACGCACACACACACACACACACGCACACACACACACCCTCTCCAGGTAGATTATCAACTCCTTCAGAGTAGGGATTGTGTCTTCTTTCTCCTTTGCCTACCTAAGCTGACTAGACTATTCTACACTATACAGTGGGTGATCAGTAAATATTTGAGTGGCAAACCTGAGATTCTGACCGAGAGCGAACTACAGCTTGCTCTATTTTGCAATCTTTTGTGCTTAGGCCCACAGTAAACACTGACTTCCACAATGATCGGTTCATGGTGTTCTCCAGAATCTCCAGCCTAAAGCAAATAAGCTTTTTCTATTGTTTTTTTTTTTCCCTCCAGTATGTTGCAAGAAAAAGAGAGAGAGTTTCAAGAAGTGTAACTGTTGCTTGTATCAACACTGTTACTTTGGCACAACGGTAAGTTTTTCACGGCAAGATGGAAGTCTTAACAAGAAATATCCACCCTCCCATTGGCCACAAGTTAGAGTGAGGATTTCTTAAGGTCCTTGATTTAGTTATGTACAATTTTTAAAACTCAAGCTGTTCCCTGTTGGAGTCATGCATGCCTAATTTGTTCTTTAAGAGCTGGGAATCACGAACATGAAGCAAATATAGTTCTGATTAGTGGACGGCTTTTGTATAGGAAGTGTAGCTACATCTTTTATTAATACCTCTAAAGACAGAGCATTAAGATTTAGGGGAGTAAGAACTAGATAAGAACTCTAAGCATAAGAAGAACAAATTTAACACACAGATGGTAGATTCCCATGCAGATGCTACAGTGGTCAGAAGATCCCTACCCAGGTAGTGTGTATTCTCTGTGTGCCTAATAACAATGCCAGATACATTGAATCCAAAATGGTGGCAGATTTGAAATCCAGTCCAGTTCAACAGACATCATTTAGGTACCTGCTATATCCAAAGCAATGGAGATACAAAGATAGGCTGTGCCCTTGTGGAGTCCCAGTATGTGTGGTGCCGTGGAAAGAGCACTGAACTTGGAGTGGCAGGATGGGAGTTTGCATCTCTGGCTCTGTTACATAGTAGCGCTATTACCCTGGCCAAGTCATTTCACCCCTCTAGAGCTTAATTTCTTCATCTGTAAAACAAGGGGGTTGAACTTGACCTCTAAAGTCCTTTCTGGCTCTTGATCCGTGACTCTATGTACACAGATAAGGAAATACAAAGTAATTTTAGGAGGGAGAGAGATTAGGAAAGGCCTTGTGTAGGGGTGGCTCCAGAGATGGGCTTTGAAGGAAGTGAAGGGTTGGGGGGGGAGGGGAGGAGGGAGTGGCATTCCAGAAAGGGGGGTCAGCTGTGCAGAGGCACAAAGGTGGCAGATGGACAGTCTTCTGCAGGGAAAGCCTAGCAGCCACTTTGATTGGAACCAGGTAATGTGTGAGTGTGGTGGAGGGAATATTGGGGTCAAGGAGTAGGAGAAATTGGAGTGACTTAACTCTTATGCTGTTTACCTCCCCATCCCTTTTCTCTGATCTTCCTCCCAGACCCCAGAGTGCTGTGGGAGGACGACACAGTGCTACAGACCTGGCTCACCACCAGTTAATACTGCCTGTTTTCTGTTGTTTGTCTGTCCTCCCCTTTCTTCCCCCATCTCCTGTTGACTCCCTAACACAGTCACCACAATACATAGGATAATTTCTACCTTTAAATCCTGAATTCTACTCCGTCTTTGTCTCACTCTCAGTCTCTTACAGAAAAATAATTGAACCTGTCCAGCATTTTCTTTGCCATGATCTTGTGGTCACCTCCATCTCTCCCTCTAACCTTAGAGGAAAAGATGTGTCTCTTCTCTGAACTTAAATCTTCCATCTTGGGTCTTATCCTTGCCCATCTTCTCCAGGACCTTGTTGGTACCTAAACCTTCCTCCTCTGCCTTTATCCAGTAGAATATAAAAAGGGACTTTTTGGGTTTTGTCATTGTATCCTGTAACTTATGGTGTTAATTGACTAGAGCACTGAGAGGTTAAGTTACTTGTCCAGGGTCACGCAGCGTGTCTATGTCTGAGGCAAGAACGTGAGCCCAGGTCTTACTGGCTTCAGGGGTTGCTTTCCGTGCATTGTCCTATACCTGCCTCATGTTCATATATGTAGCGGGCACTCAATAGTGGAGTAGAATCTTTTCCATGAGCTTGTTTCCATCTACTTCTAGACATGCTCAGGTCTTCCCTATCTTAAAAGAAAAATCAATTAATCAGCAAGCATTTAAGCATGTGACAGGCTCTGGGCAAGACACTGGGGACATTCCTAGCTCTCTGGGAACTTATATTCTAACAGCAGCAGCAATATAAAACAATTAAAAACAACTTTCTTGATCTCATAGGACTTTGGAACTTCCGTTCAATCTTCTTCCTTCCTTCTGCTGCCAAGCTCTGACCGCTTAAGGTCAAGGGGCCTTCTATTCTCCAAGATTTCTTTCCATTCTTCCTAACTCCAAATTTTTATTCCTCCTGGTGGCCCAATTCTCTTCCCTTCAAAACCGAAGAACTACTTTTTCTCCAATTGTTACTTCTTATATCTTTAAAATAACAACAACAACAACAACATTTACACAGTGCTTCCAGGTTTGCAAAGTACTTTACAAGTTTTAACTCATTTTAGCCTCACAACAAACTTGTAAGTTAAGAGCTGTTATCCTCATTTTATAGAAACTAAGGCAAGTGACTTGCTTAGGGGTCGCATCTAGTAAGTGTGTGAGGCAGGATTTGAACTCAGGACTTTCTGAGTTTCTGACTATGTAATGCAGCCAGTTAGGAAATGGCAGTACTGTTTTTCAGCAGACTTGACAGCTTGGGAATCGGAACAAAGAAAGCCACCATTTTCTACTGCCATGGAGAAATTAGAACCATAGTCATTCAAAGAATAGAGGCCAGTGACAGAAGCACAGATCACGAGTTGTTTGTGAAACCCTTAGCTAAGCCTCTATTGGAAATATGTAATGAATTAAGGAACCAGGGAGAGATGGTAGGATCTGAAGGGTGTCTTGTTATCAAATGTTAAGCCTTTTAGCCTATTTACCTACCAAAGTCTAAAATCTTTTAAAAGTCTACAAATGAAGTAATATGTGTAAAGAGCTTTGCAAACCTTAAGGAGATATATGCGTCAGCTCTTACTACTATTACTAATATGATAGCTTTCTGCTTTTTCCTGAAGTTCTTTTTAGCTATGAGAGAGTCTGAGAGCAAATTGGTTCAGGACCTACCTAAATGACCAAAGGGCAAAAAAGTATGCTGTTCCATTGAGTCTGATTAGGGAGAGGAGAAGGGGAGTAAGCATTTAGTGTTAGGGTTAGAGTTAGCACACTTCCAATCAGAGATATGCTGCTAAAAACTTATCAACTAGCTCCAAGAAAAAAAAATGCTGACACTTAGGTTTAATCTGTATTACTAACATTTTTTTTTCCATTGATTTCTTAAGTCTATATATCCAATCAAAAAAATAAATCAAGCCATGATTTGTGCTTGCACGTGCCAGGCACAATGCTAAGCGCTTTTTCCACATCTTATCTCATTTGATCTTCACAACAAACCGAAAGTTGACATTTTAACCCACATTCTCTGACTCAAATTACAGAATTCTTTCTGTATAATTACCTAGAGGTTGTTACAAACACATAGTAAGTAATAGAAAGGAAATACAAGTGCTTTAGATCAGAGCTGGAAAATGTCAAAAATGAATCAATCCAAAGTTCTGTCATTCATGACCAGCTCAGCAACAGTGAAATAAAGTGTGGTTTCCATGCTTTGGCAAATATGAGCTTGCTGCCTCATGACAGAATTTCCCATGGGGCAGGACTCAGGGAGAATCTTGGTCTATCTGATTACCTTTTTGCCGCAAATATTGGATCAGTTTCTGCAGGAATAGGCTCAGTAGGTCTCTTTCCCTCAGACAGTTCTTTGTTCTCCTGAGCAGGACCATTCAGGGAATGACTTAAGTTGTGGGCTCTTCTTGGGAGTTTCTGGGGACTGAACAAATGAAACCTCATTTTTCTAGCAGACATTTTACTGAGAGGTACCAATCTTAGTACAGCACCCATCCTTCTCTCATTTTGTCCCAAGACTTAGAAATATAGATGGTGCAGTAAAGAGTGTTGAATTTTAAGTCAAGACCTAATTCTAATCAAATGTTGTTGGAGGTAGCTAGGAGGTATAACAGATAGAGTGCCAAGCCTGGAGTCAGGAAAACCTGAGTTCAAATTCGGCCATGCACACTAATTAGCTTTGTGATCCTGGGTGAGTCACTTAACCTTGTTTGCCTCAGTTTCCTCATCTGTAAAATGAGCTGGAGAAGGAAATGGCAAGCTACTCCAGTATCTTTGCCAAGAAAACCCCAGAAAGGGGTCACAAAGAGTTGCACATGACTGAAAATGACTAAACAACAACACCGTTGTCTTATAGGTAGTAAGTGTCAAAGGCAGTATTCAGATTTTGATCCTGTGATTTCTCAGCACTCTTGTCCTCTCATCCCTTTTTTTTTGACTCTTAGAATTATCTTTCCCATGCCAGCACAGTATCTTGTGTAAAATAGTGGTTAATAAATATGTATTGAATTGAATTGAATTAGAGGGAGAAGTGATGTCTGGATCAGGTTAGATAATCTCTCCAAGCTCTGGTGTCTGCTGAGTAACATGGAAGGCAGTTCATTTGATGATCTTCTGGCATTCCATCTCAGAGATACTTCACTCTTCTTGTCTTGTTTGCCCTTTTCCTATTGCCTCACTCTTTCCCCTCTCCATTTCTTCTATGTCCATATCTACCTGCATGCCATAAGACTTCTGGTGATATCCTCAGGATTTCTTAGATCTCCTTGAGGGAGACCACTCAGGACCAGAGTGGTTGCTGACCTTCTAGAATAACTTTGACAATGCTTTTTTAGACTCATGTCGGTGAGAGGAGCTTACAGCTACATTGCTGACTTGGTAGATTTTTCTGACTGCTTCTGGATCAAGAATGAAAGGAATGGAGAAAGCAGAAATACTACAATCTCTCTCTTTTTTCCTCCTTCTCCTCTAGGCGGGTAACAGTTTTATGTTTGCTTCATAAATGAAGCAGCTTTAAGCAAATTCATATTCTGTCTGGAGTGACAGACTGAGTCTCTGTCTGTACTTGCTACCCATGACTCCATAATGATGATTCAGAAATGGGGACAAAGTGTCTTACTGTGAAACCAGCGCTGAATTAATCATCTGCAAAGAAGAATATGCATGGAGCAAAACTCTATTTTAAGGATTTGGGAATTTGCCGTCTCATTTGGCAACTCATGTTGGGAAAGGAACTACGTTCCCTGGACTCCATGCACCACCCGCATGCCTCCAGCAACGAGTAGTTTACCAAACATCCATGTGTTCTAATCCTTCAATTGCCATCTGCATCCCACAGTTTAACCTGGTCTGTAGAAATGGCCTTGATCTTGGATTATGGGGATGAAAAAAATGAAAGAGAAGCAGAGTTTTAAAGACACTCTGGTATGGGAAGAGGGGAAATCTGAGAGATGCAGAAGGTTAGCATGCTGGCTTTTAATCTTACGGAATCTAGGTTCATGTTTTGGACGACATGACGTGGATCCAGTCTCTTTCTCTGCCCAATGAATACCATATCTATCCATCTCAAAAAAAAAAAAAAGCCTACCGGATAATCTGACATGGTTGGCTGTCCATGGCTGTCCATGCAGGGGAAGTCAATATTGAATTAGACTGGTGGTGTTGTCACCACATGGAGAAGCTCTGAAAGAGTTAATATATGAAGAAGCGTTCAGCACTGACTATCAGAAGGGCCTACCTGAAGAAGACGACATTTGGTGCCCCTGGTGATGTCTGCCCTTTTTTGATAACCACTATGGTGTGTATAGATACGTTTCCAAAATATGTTAGAGCATTTTATATACATATATTCTAGAAACCTTACACAAAGTTATGTAAAGAGAGTCTTAGGAGAAACTGCTGAATGTATGGAGATCCCACTTAAAACTGCAGCTGTGGGAGGGACATTCATATGGCTTAGAATATTCAGTATCTAATAAGAGACAACCACAACCCTAAACATTGGTATCCAAAACCTTGGCCTTTGCAAAAGAGCAAGAAATCTAGCAACTTCAGCTACTGGTAACATAGTCTTCATCGTGTTTGAAATATCCATTTATTTAAGATCTGGCACTATTCATTAAGGGTGTAATTCAGAGATTTTTTTTTTTAAGCTTTATTCAGTTTTGCATGTTGGCTTGCTGTTTAAAACACATGACTGCCTAGGGCATATTTTGGAGAAACTTGGCAAGTGTTGCTAAGAAGGGCAAAGGATCTGTGATTTCATCAGCACTGGGGATTCTTAGAACCAATCTGCAACCTACTAGATAAATCTAAGAGGTTGGTTCAGTGAGGTACATGGAAGTTAGTGACTGACCCAGAGTCACACAGCTAGCAAGTGTCAGGGGTGGAATTTGAACCTAGGTCTTCCTGATTCTAGGCCTTGTACCGAACCTACTACCAAGCTTCCGGTACCAGAGTCCTCCATAATATGGACACGTAGTAATTTTAAGCTAGAATTTAAAGTGTCTTGAGAAACCTTTCTAATGACATGTTCCATCTTCTAAAGGCAGACAGTTTATTAAAGCCAATGAACAATTAATTCTTAGTTTTTTTCTGCTTAATATTGGAGAGAGAGAGAGAGAGAGAGAGAGAGAGGATGAGAGAGTGAGAGTGTGTGAGTGTGGGTGTGGGTGTTTTAATGTGCCACAAAGCTACAAATAGAGACAAAAGTGTATCCTTCCAAGCTGAAGATTGGGGCAACAGTACAATGATGAATTATTTCCACAGACTGGCCATTGACAAACTGGCCTCTTGACCCAGAAAGGCATGAAACAGTCATTGTTCTCCTTCCTTTGTATCGAAATGTCAGAAGGTCTCCGTGGTAGTTGGAATCTTCAGTTTGGACTATTCTGTATGGACTGCCTGATTCTCCAAGCTTTAGAAGACAGTTAGATGCATTTAACAGTAAAACAATGCTGAGCATAATTGCTTGATACTAGTTAGTTGGACACAGGCTCTGACATGCCTGCCTGTAGAGAGAATGCATAGCTTCATTATTATAGTCCAGAGTTGACCAAATAGAGAACGTGTGACATTATTGGAGTTAGCCAGCTGGCATCTACGTCTAGGAAAGCACCTTGCGATTTGCTGTTACATTCCTATCCCATCATTGCATTTCAGAGTTGCCTTCTGAAGTAGCTTCAGAAGGTCTGATGAAAGGTCTTTAAAGCTTTGCACCTTATTTTGAAAAACCTAGATTGTAAAGAAGCCAGCCCCATGGCTAATGGTTCTTGGACAGTGAAATCCAAATGGTCCTGAACATTGGGTTACACAATACCCTTTTCACACTGCCAAACTCTAATATCAGAAACATCTTAACTTCCCTTCATTTGGTTATTGAGCTAGTCATTGGTCATGCCATACTGTAAGGTAAAATGTCAATTTAAAAAAAGTTTCCTTTAGGTAAGATTTAGATTGTTTCTAGTAAATCAAAGTGTTTTGGGGGATTTTTGTGATGCATTTTATCAACTAGATTTAAATCTGTAGGGGAAAAAAAACCCTTCGTTTCACATTCACAGCTGTCCCTATGACATATTTCTCTAGTTAAGGTGTGTCATCCACATTTCTTCTTACTGGCGCATTTATTAGTCCTTCCACATTTCTTTGTTTTCAACACAGAACAAGGAGAGAAAAATAGAGCTGACAGTTTCACGTGTAGTATTTGGTTCTGGGGTCTGGGTGTATAAAATGCTGACCTTCCAGAATCATTGTTGTTTTTATTTAGAATGTAAATAGGGCTCATTAGTCAAAGCAAGATTCAGTTTTACCCAAGGTAAATTGGATAACTATTTGCACAAGTGATGGTTTTTCAGCTCTGCTTGAATGAACAGTTTGGAACACCTCCTACAAATACATCACGACATTCAAGTACTCTTTAGATCCTGCAGTCAGGAAGAGTTGCTTTAATGTAAGTTTAACATTTGGAAACCCACCAAATTATGCATTTCAATCTTTATTTTATTAAAAGCTAAGAGCCTAAAATGGAGGATGTACATAAAGTTCAAAATGCCAGAAGATGTTTTAAAATCAATTTGGGACAGACCAATCCGTAAATTACTTTTCTGGCCATTTGTTATTATTGTATTTTTGGTTTTTTTTATGGAGAAATGAGAGGCAAATTTTATAAGTCATCTCATCCTTAGTATAATTTTAGAATATGCCACCTTGAAACTCCCCTTAGAATCAATCCATCAATCAACAAACACTTTTTAAGCACCTGTGTGCCAGGTACCACATAAGGTGCAAGGAGAAAAAGATGAATTTTTAGTTTGAGTGCTCCAAGGAACATTACTGTAATATTGAATTACATATTCACTAGAATTGGAAATGCCTTTGTTCTAGGAGACAAATAAGAGTACTTTAATTTCATAATGAGGGCTTTTTCCAAACAATTATTCCTGTAAAAAGTCTATTTCTGAGATCCTGAAATATTAACTAAGCAAAAATACATATCTGTCTATATATGTATGTAGATACTTGTGTATTTCTGATGACTGTCACCAAGTACATGCATACTACAGTTGCTTTCTCTTTACATTTTCATCATTATTATTTTAAGCACAGGAGCTGTTGAATGGAAGATGTAACAACACAGTGCCATTTTCATTTATTTGACTCATGAGCTCTAAGACTCACAATATCTCCCCAGTCAGAAAATCCTAGTCTCCTACACTATCAAACACTAGTGTAGGATCGCACACGATATCTACTTGCCATGATTTTGCAGTGAGTGTGCTTGAAAAAAAAAGGACCCTGATTCCTTTTCGATGGATGCACAGGTATATTGCTGGTTCTGTTTTAGGTTGGAGTTCTAATGTAAATGTATGTCAACACTACTTTGCATAGTTTATTATGACTGAAGGTTAATTAAATCAAAGAGGTTTGTAAAATGTGATGTGTATGTGTATATACCGTATGCGTACTTTTTAAAATAGGTGTATGTCCCGACTCTTTTTTTTTATACTGGTTTGAATTTGAAATTACATTATATATACATATACTTTATTGTTCTAAATAAAGAATTTTATGCACTATTGTGACATGGTCTTGTTGTTAATGATTTCACAGTTCTTCATATAGTCATGGAAATTACAGACCCTGAGATGGGGAAGGGACTGTGGAGGTCACCTGTGCCTGAACAGGATTCCCTATTGTAATACTATCTAATCCAGTCTCTGCTTGAAGATCACCTCCTAAGAAAGCGCATTCTACATTTAGACTGTTCTAATCATTAGGATTTTCCCCCTTCCATCAAGCCCAAATTTAATCATCATACATGCATACCTATATGTATATGTGTACACACACACACACACACACACACACACACACACACACACACACACA